GGGTCCTGTGTTGTTTGCTGTTATGGTCAATGACCTTGTTCAAAGTTGGGGCGCCCGCATTAAATTCGTGGATGATCTGACGGTTTTGGAGGTTGTACCTCGCAATTCTCCATTCTTATTGAATGTAGTAGTCGATGATATCCACGCTTTCGCTGTTAACAACAATATGCGCTTAAACCCCCGTAAATGCAAGACCTTGACTGTCGACTTTCTTCACTACAATAGTTGCGTTTCGCGCCCAATCGCAGTTGATGGGTCCGATATTGAACAGGTCTCTACNCCACGCTTTCGCTGTTAACAACAATATGCGCTTAAACCCCCGTAAATGCAAGACCTTGACTGTCGACTTTCTTCACTACAATAGTTGCGTTTCGCGCCCAATCGCAGTTGATGGGTCCGATATTGAACAGGTCTCTACATTCAAGCTCCTCATCATCAGTGTCCATCTTTCTGAGGACCTCACTTAGGGAGTGCACTGCGACTGCATAGTGAAGAAGGCCAACAGAAGGCTTTATGCACTCGTCTGAGAGAACTCAAGAAGGGCAAAGTTTCGTCGGCTGATATTGTTCTTATCTACTGCGCGCTAATTCACTCTGTACTAGAGTACGCCTCCTCTGTCTTTGCTGAATTGCCTAAGTATCTTGCTTTCTATCTTGAGAACGTGCAAAAAAGGGCACTTCCCATCATTTGGCCTGGTATTTCGTATGAAACAGCACTTGACAAAGCTGCATTATCCACTCTCCCTGACTGTCGGGCAGTCTCGTGTATTAAATTTATAGGTAAGGTTCGGCCAGGTAACCTATTATACCCACAAATACACAACAGTGTGTGTCTCAGATCAGTGAGTTCTAGCAGGCCCATGGCCACAAGGACTGAACAAGAACTTTGTTAGCGTTAAATATTAATCTTGTCAATAAATGTAGCGTGTTAGTATATATATCACAGCTTGTAAGGTATCCTACAATTCAGTCTTCCGACTGCAAAAGGGACAATAAACCAGTGATTTGATTTGATTAGTTACTGTAGTGTTTGTGTTGACGTCTTAACAACAAAATATATTTAAGACTACGACAACAAAATCTTTTATTTAAATACGGTGGGTTTTAAAGCTAATATAGCTTATGGGGCCGTGTAAAAAATGTTAATAGGATGACAAAAATTAAAAAGAGAAAATGCACCAAAAACGATGAAAAGTACACTAGTGTCAATGTATAAATTAAAAATATGAATGCGGTCAATAAAAGGCGAAATGTTTATGTAAAAGATATGAATAGAATCAATAAAAGACGAATTCACTGACAGTTGGGGGACCCCTTTGCGGTGACTCTTCATTAAAGTTCAAGCGTCTCAGGGCGGGAGACTTCTTTGCCCTCTGGCGCTGATAGCGGATGGTTCTAAGAGATCTTATCTTTTTGTCTTTTTTTCTTTTTCCTGTTTGCGTCGTTGATGATCAGAGCGTCGAACAGGATCTGTTGGTAAGAAATTCCTTAAGCGTTTTCTATACGATTTTTTCTGAAAGCCTGTTTTAATATGCCTGAGCTAGGGATCAGTCGATGTAAGTATGACATGCAGCAAACTAACTAGTGTCGTCTGTCTAAAGTGGACAACTTTGTCAGTTTTGCCAGTAGATTATCTATATCTGTGGCAAGCATTTATTACTTAATAAACACAACAAGAAAATTGTTAAAAACAGAACAGTTTCGGCTTTCGTTTTTTCTCGTGGTATGATCAATGTATATGTCAAAAGACTGCTAGAATTAATTCCTCAGTTGGCTCTTTATTTTTTCTGTTATAAGGGACTGGTCAAAAAGTATGGAGGGTGGGCAGGGGCATTTAGAAATGTGGTTGATGAAAAACACAAGGCCCACCCCCTCCCTTCGGCACAAAAATAACTGACCCACGACTAAAGCAAGGTTAGGAATTACGTGACCCAACCCCAGTAGTTGGATTTTTAGTTTCCTCTTAATAATCCAATGAATCCTTGTTCTGTGCATGAGCAAATCATACATCTCCAGCCTTTTGCCTTGTTTATAAGGTTAGAAATAAAGTGTTAACAGGGCAAACAGGAGTCATAAGCTCGTGATAATGTGAAACGTGACCTTTGCTTTGAAACAAAACTCAAATTTTCATCTTTTCTCTCTCGCGCGTGGGTCACTAGCACCGCACAGTGCATGAAGCGTCTAACCAGATTAACTCTCATTTTTGCCACACTAAGTTTTACATTTGGAGGTCATGAAGCTGGTTTGTTTCAAGCACATTTAGTAGTTATTTTCTGTGGTTTATGCTTCTGTGGGTGTTTCTGATAGGATGTGATCTCAGTTGCAGTTGTAAAGTAATCATTTTCTTTGACCTCTCTTAAAGCCTAATAAAAGCCTTTTATTACGGCTAAATAGAAACTATGGTTTCTTTGATTTCCTCAAAATGCCTGGATCTGAACTACATGCATGCAGTTTCTTTGTCCGTGAATGTGATTATTTCCTGCCATGTTTTGGCTCTGGGCCCAGCTACTAAATGTTGTTTGCAGGATGTAACTCGTGTGAGAGTATTTTTAGCAATAATTTCAGCTGGCTGTGTTTTATATAACAAGTGTGTATTTATTTGTCCCGTTAGCATCAAGACGTAAATGACTTTGAGCCTATCTATGCTTTAAAATAGGAAGACCCACTCCCTAAGGGTAGCTGAAAATTACACGACCCACTCCTTTCACAGGGCTCAAAACCTCATGATCCACGACCCATGACCCTCTCTGCTCCCGCCCACCCCTTCTCCTATACGTTTTGACCAGTCCCTTATCAGGAAAACTAACTACTGTCTGGCTTTACTCCCTTCTATGTTTTGACTCAAAACTATTGAACACTGACGTTTTACAAAGGGTGGCAATAATTTTGAAATGCGTCGTATCTACACTTGCACCGAGCTCTCTATGGTCGTCGTAGAGAAACTTTTGGGTTTGATGTTGTGAAGCGAAGTGGTAGGTGAAATGTACAAACTTTTAAATCTAGCAAGTCTCGCTTCCCAGTCGAGCTGCCCCATTTTTTTCTTTCCTTGTCTGTTTTTATAGTGTCCCTTTGAGGTCAAAATCCCACGGCGCAATTCCACCTTTTAATAATTCTTCTATCTTTCATTCTTTTCTCTTTCCGTGTTTGTTACCGGCGTTGATGATCAGGGTACCTAGGAGAATCTTACGGTAAGTAATAACTTTATTTGTAACATCCTCTATATTTTGTTAAGTTCTCAGCTTGTTTTATCGGTGCCTAAGGCTTTAAGGGATCAGTTGATGTAAATTAAAACACATGCAGCTCACTAACTAGTGTTTGTCTCTATTGTAATCATCAATAGTGGACAACTTTGTCAGTTTTGCCAGTGGATTATTTATCTTTTCTGTGGCTGAGCATTTGTTACTTAATTAACAAGGGCATAAATCATAACAAGAAAACGTTGTTAAACGCTCAACAGTTTCATTGTCCTATTTTTTTCTCTTTTCATGGTATAATCAATAAATATGTCAGAAGACTGAAAGAATAAATACCAGTCTGCCTGGCAAAATACTTTTAGTATCGAACCAATACGATTTCAGGAAAAATTATTCTATTGCACTTAAATGGATCGACTTGTGTAATAAGATCTCCACGGCCTTTGTCGTCGGTATTTTTCTTGACCTCTCAAAAGCCTTTGACATCGTAAATTATGCCATTCTTTTTTATAGACTCGGACATTACGGTATTTGCGGTTTAGCGCTGGACTGGACAAGAAATTACTTTTCAAACAGAATGCAATATGTTGAATTAAATGGCTATCGTTTGTTAAGAAATGAAATCTTTTGTGGGGTCCCTCATGGCTCTATCCTCGAACCTCTTTACTTCATTCCTTACTTTTAACCGACGACATTATCAATGCTTCTAGTTTATTAAGTTTGATATTATCAAACTAACTTTCGGATCGATTTATTAAATTTGGAGAGGGGCAAACTGTAAATCTGATGGTTTAAAGCAAACAAACTTTCCCTAAATCCAAAAAGACTAATAAAATTTAATCATGGTCTTCAAACCAAGTCAAAAACGTACGGATTGTGATATTCAATTAAGTATTGATAATCAACATGTAGTTCGAGTAAAGAAGACAAATATCTTAGGAGTAATTTTGGAATAAAACTTAAATTGAAAGTCAAAAATTCTGCACTTAGCAACAAAGTTATGAATTCAGTCGGTATAACATTTATATGCTGCTTCTATCTTCTTAAACCTCCCTACGTATATTGTACCATTAATTGATTTATCCTTTTTTTACTACAGTAATGTAGTTTATAGGCTTCGACCTATAAGACTTGTCGTCTCCTCATTCTGCAAAAGGGCATTATAAGAATCTATAAATTAATCACATTTCAACGCTCATACAGACCCTGTCTTAAAGGAACTCGGTATGCCAAAATTTAATTTAATGATATTCATCTGCTTCAACTAGGTCAACTTATGTTTTCTTGCACTGAAAAATTCATTCCTGCGTCCAAAGTTTTATAACCATCAATTCCACTCTTACAATACTAGAAATTCCCAGGCCTACCGTCTGCCCTTTTGTCGAACAAACATTAAGATGTTCTCAGCTTTTTCTTCCAGGGCCCAAGTTTTTTAAACTAAATTGATAACGAAATCATCAACTCTCGATCGTTTTCCTCCTTTAAGAAAATACTTAAGATTAAATTAAAAAGTAAATATGACTGATCTTAAATCTTTTCCATCATGTCCACCGTAGACTTAACGCCATCCAGGAAGCCTAACCTCTCATAAGCTCCCTATAGTTTCTGTTAGGGCTCCTCGCCACTAATTTGCTACTTAGTATCTTAATATTTTTATATTTCTCTTATCGTTTGACAAATCACGAAATAAATGAATTAATTAATTAAGTAATAACATTAATTAAACAGCTCACAACGAAAAAATCACAGTCTGTACTGTTCAAGAACAATTTTTTTTTGTAAACTCTATTTTTCTTTAAATAAAAATACGTTGTTGTTCTTGTTGTTGTTGTTGTTGTTGCGATATATAGATAATTTTGAAGAAGTTGCTAATCCTGGTCGTGTCTTGCCTGAAAACGACCCAACGTGGAAAGCAGGAGGAACAACATTACAAGGATACAGCTCCCAACACTTCACCACTGCTGACCCAATCAAGGTTGATTCTTCAAAGAAGGTTGAATTGCTGTTGAGGCTTGTAGCAAGGTAAAACGTCTTTTCTTTTATTATTATTATTATTATTATTATTATTATTATTATTATTATTATTATTATTATTATTATTATTATTATTATTATACATAACTTATAACCTACTAGAGAATAATACCCATTGTATTCTTTTTGCGTAGCTCAAAAATGGTTTGTTTTTGTTACCCCCCTATTACGTTCTTTTTCAGAGAGGACGAGACAGACCTTGTTTTTCCAAAAGACAGGTGTAAACCACTGTCCACTTTGTGTCCGCCAGCTGTACCAGAGTAGAGAGGAACTGAAGCGAAACATATTTTATAATTTAGCATGCAGCTGTCATTAGATTGGAGCTATATGTCTAGCTTAAAATTACCTTTTATTTCATTTCCGGAAGTCAGTTATGATAAGAAAAAGTAAACTTCTCGGGTCTTTAAATAACACATAATCAAGCTTGTTTAGAACTTTGAGACTGCATACGTTTGAGAAATGTAGGCTGGCCTTTTTTCTAGCTGTAGATAAACACAGCTAGTTGTCGTTTTAATTTAAAAAATTGATCGGAACAGAAGTAGGTGTGACGTTTTCGTTCAAAGTGTTTCTAACAAAAGAGAAGGAAAAGAAGGAATGAAAAAATTAAAGTAAGCATAGCAGTACGTAACTTTTTACAATATGAAACGGGGAATTCCGATTGGAAAACTCGCGCCACTTGATCTAACATTTACGAGACTTAAGAAAACAAGGGCTGTTGTAAGAGCTTTATAGAGGCGAATAAATGTTTTAGTCTCTTCGGCTGATTTGGCTAAACCTTAAACAGGAATTCCTTGTCCCACAAAGTCAAAATTAAGCGTCGAATTTTTATACACAAGCGAGGTTTTAACCGGACCATTTCTGAAGAACCCTTGAAGTGCCAGTTAAGATTTTTTTGTCAGTTTGATAACGCCCCAAGGAAACTACTACGACAGTAACGTTTTAATACCCACTATACAGCTTGTCTTAAACTGTCCAAGTAAATAAACCCAGCGAGAAGTTGTAAGGTGCCAAAAGTAACTGTGTTACGGCGGAGTAATTGGAATTTTTGCGCTCTCTATAAAAACGGCAATTGTGCAACACTTTCCGCCTCTCTCTCGGGTTTGGTCCGAGGAGTTTTTCGGAAGAGGATTTTTTCGTTTCCCGAACGGAGGCTGGTAATCGAGCTTACAGGACACGTTACCTTGGAGTGATTCTACTTAACCCGTGAATACCAACTATTTCTCTCTAATTTCATTGTTTTCTTTTCTTAGTAACTATTTGGCACTAATTGTTACATACTGGGAAACTGGTTTACTAAAATCACTATTACAGTTAATCTATTGAATTGTTATTAAAAAAACTTTCAGTATTGCGGAGAAATGTGTCATTGTTTCTGTAATAACTGAACTAATGTTAGCTAGAACACGTTAACTAAGTATCTTAAGCAGGTTTTTATCTAGGGTATTTGAGGGGTAGAAGCTTCCCACCCAAAATGCCCATCCCTCCCCCCTAAAAATGTTGTTATCATTACAATATTTTGGTAACTATATCGGAAAAATCATCCAGACGCGATGAGGTCAGTGCACACACTGTAACATTTCTCAAAATTGTCTCAAAATGCACCAGATTGCATCTCGGCGCATATTCATTTCAAAAAATTTCCGATGGGGGCATGCCCCCGGACCCCCTTCGGGACTCGTGGCCTTCGGCCACTCGGGACTTCTCCCCCAAACGATAAATCCTAGATAGAACCCTGTTAAGGTGACGTTTCAGTTTACTTCGGGCCAATAATCATTCTTTCGGAGCCCGTTTACGAAGAAAACTCCATTCACCCATTAATTCTCAATATCAATAATTTTTGAGATTCACAACATGAAACTACGTTAAAACGAGCACCAAAAACGTGCAACTTGTACTGCAACATTTCTGCTAAATAAGTTGTACAATTTTTGTTTTGTTCGTTTTACCGTAGCTTTAAATCTCTAGTGGAAGCTCTCCGTAAACATCAATGGAAGAATAAGACATCACTTTAAAGTGGTATTTTATTTTTTCTGAAGTTGCAATGAAACTGAAGGTGACTACCATAAAATTTCTAATTCGTACGTTTTCCTTCAGATGTTCCGGTAGTTAGTATGTCACCTTCCTTAACAAACAATGCTCTTTTACTTTTCGGCTTCAAAAACGATTTTCACAATATACAGAAGAATTCTGCACAAAACGAGTTCAAATAAGTGAAACAATAAATAACTGCCAAAATCAAGTATATTATACTCTCTGTGACTATATAGTCTTTTCTTCTATAATACAGGGATGCAGTAAAACTATTCGGACTATATGAGTGACTCCACGACACAATCATACAATTATTTACACTGAACCAATGCAGAGGTTTCAGAAAATTCAGTCAGTTTTTATACCATATCAGAATGTTGCTCGGATAGAGGTACGGTCTACCACACTTTGCGTATAAATGGTCCATTTTCAAATGTAAGATGCCTCATAAAAATCTAGTGTTATTTTTTGCTCGTCTTTCGTGACTGGACAATAAAAGATTAGCAAATCAAGTTAATTTCTAACTTGAACATTAAAACTACCCATGTTTACAACAGTTCCAAGGAAAAAGATTTTTTTTTGGAAAGATCTTGAGTAATAAGCAGAAATTTACTTAATGTCACACAACAGGGCGACACCGCGCAGAATCCAGTGATCTGGATTCTGATTGGTTTTCAAGTCCACACTTGCAATATACGTCAGATCTGTTCTCCTTGGTTTCTTGTATATCGGGCACTGGTACATCCGGGCATCTCGGCCAGCGGTCGTGTTAATAGCGTAGATATGAATGACTGGCATGGCGGTGAAGAGAACCTTTTGCGTGGGTTCCACAAGTTTGCAGCCTCTGCGATCCCACCCGGCTCCGTCAAGATACAATCCATGCACATAGACCCCTTCAGCCGGGGGCTGAGTGATGTCATCTTTAAAGAAACGCGTGACGTCATTATGAAGCACCACGCAGTCCAGGGCCCAGCCCTTGTGCGCACGCGTCACTTCCTGATAAATAGAAAAAAATTCATGCGTAAATTTTGTTTCTTAAGGTAAAGAAAGTAATAAATAGGAAGAAAATCATTCGCACACTACACGGCTGGTTTAATTTTTATCTCATGATATTGACAAACATTGTAAAAATGTAAATGCTGTGGTTTAATTTTATCTTTGGTTTAAATTTAATTTTCTTTTGTTTTTGGGTTTGGTGATATATGATAATGAAGGAAATAAAAAACCGAGGAAAAATTGAACCACAACATATATTCCTTGTAACTAGCTATATAGTAGTCAGTTAAAGCATAGTTGATATATTGGAATGGTTAGCATTCATGTCTTGTTGATCTTATTGACCAATAGAAATCTGACATTAATTTATTCCGTTATTACAAAACAAAAAAATTGTGCACCGTCAGAGAACTTCCAACAAAAAATGCGGTACCGTTGTTTTTACCATTAATGTTTGCGGCCTGTCATAAACAGTCGTCTCTGCTAACTATGTTTGAAGCTACCACAGGGTCATTAGAGGCGTCAACATATGACGAGGTTATATTTCAACAACTCGCCTCCGGGGTCACTCTCTGACTTCACCGTTGGTCTATGACTGACCAAAGGTACGGTAAAACGAGTAATACTGTTAATTACTGAGGAAAACTGATTACCATGGATTACAATTCGCCACCTTGAGATTGCGCGGGAGACCGGGTCGAGATGATTGTCGTGGTACATTGTGGGACTGTTTTTGGGGACGCATTTTTAGTATGGCGGCAAATTCATCCCCCAAAAAAGGCCCACAATGCGCTTTGACAACCATTTCGACCCGGTTTCTCGCGCAACCTTAAAGTGGCGAATAAACCATACCTGTCTCATGGCGGTGAGGAATCCTTGGGGATTGAAGAAGCCTGTCATCCAGAACACATTAGGTCTTCCTTCAAAACACCAATTCCTAAACTGGCTGTTTCTTTCCAAAAGTTCGGTGTACCAGAATCCAAGCGTGGAAGACTCCCATGAGATCTAAAAGGTGATGAAATAAAGTGGAAGAAAAACAACTGAAATTAGGCGAAAATGGTCGATGTTTTCTCAGGAAAGTACTTTCAAATGTGTAACTAGAACGCTTTAACCTGTGGATGTCCCGACATTTTCTCCTCTCTTAACCCTTATGCTTTGTAAAACAGAGTGGTCAAGAGAATTACGGAAATGATCACACAAGATGAATTTGCTTGATATTTTATCAACTTCTCCCCGCTGATTCTGTGGGAAATGAATAGGGGCAACAAATGAGAATTCAAATTTTGATATTAGGGTTTAAAGGGGTAATTATAAACTAATTACTTTTTTCCAGTGTGTAGGTATCCTGGCATCGTACATGCAGTCAAGTGAGTCTCTTAAGGTCTAAAGAAAAGGCCAAGAATTGTATCAAAATCAAATAAAGAAAAGTGCACAGTGAAAGTTTAAGCCCAGGACACGGAACAGTCCGTTTGGCTGCACTCTGCTATAGCTACAATAAAAGAATGGCTTGGTCACTGTAACTAACGTTGGCACTTCTCATGACCATTTACATGACGGCAAATTATTAAAAACAAACAAACGAAAACAATTTATCAGCTCCGTTTTTGGTAAGCAAAGGATTGGCGATAATATTCCACATTTGTCATTCGATGATTCTCAAGTTTTTCAAAGAAAGATAAAACTTAACGAAAATGCCAAAAAGGCAGAATAGAAGAAAGCTAACCTCGCTCATAATGATGGTTCCGTCAATGGCCAGTTTTAGATCTGTCAGTGTCTGCCGCACAGCGGTTATCACTCTCTGCATTCGATCGATTTCTTGCCTCAAGAAGATATTCATGGGAGACAGTGCTCCCATCTTCTGCAACCTCGCCTTCACCTGAAATTAAAAAAAAAAAAAAAATGAGAATTTTCAACCTCTATACTCGAATACCAGTTTATACGCTAGAAAATCCTCCATGAAAAGAGGTCCACTTTTTTCCCGTGATTGACAAAGAACTGAGGACTCGGATACACAGTGAAGCGTCAAAATAATCTTATTCGTTCAGTTTACCTCATGTGCGATGTAGTTTTCAGGAAGCTTATCGAGCATGTCATCAGCCAGCCGCTGTACAACAGACTCGCGGGTTTCTCCTCCGCCGCCTGAGCTATCCTTTGGCTGAATGCTAAGGATTGTATCCAGGCAAGACTTGGCCAGGTTACTCTGGTATCTGTAAACACACGTGAAATACTCGTTAGTG